CAAAGTACCTGAACGTGTCTCACTTGCTCAACAAGTCTGATGAGATGTAGATGACAGATGCCATGGCTGTTATGGAGGAAACACAGAAGATTGTTCAAGATGAGACGCTGAGGCAGAGAGAGCTTGAAACAAAGGTACTTGGCGGATCCCTAAAGCTTATCCCTCCCTTCGTGAAAGTGCACTCAGGTTCGGATCCTTGCCAAGAAGATCAGCATGTTGGAGTCGAATAGGGAGATTTCGTCTCTGTCACCAAGGGAACAAGAGCTTTAGCTAGATGAGAAACTCTCGCCACCACATCAGCCAATCAACTAAAATAAAGGATCAAACATGAGCTATGACTGTTGTCAAAGTCTTTTATTGCAGTGTTTCCAACACCCGACAAGTTTGGATCCGGAAGAGTCTGTTTGTCAAAACTAAAGGAAGATATCATAGATGTCGTTTAATAGTCTGCCATGGTAGCAAACTTGACGTCGCCGGAGAACAGCTTGGCAACGCAGTACTTGACCTGTTCAGCACAGTCATCTCATCATCCCCTGGAACAACACACTATTCAACCTCGTCCTCAGTGACGAACTGGGAGGCGCAGAAGTTAAGTCCCTTGATCTTCTGTGCGCGCTCAGACAGGTTGGCCCAGTTCAACCTGAACAAGCTCTCAGCAACGCTCGCACGAGGCTATCTCCTCGTACATGGTGGTCTGCTGAGGGATGGGAGCAGCCATCAAGGTGGTGATGCGCTGAGGAACGGCAGCGCCGATGGCTTGCGCGTTGTCAAGACCGGTTTCTACACTCCAGACCTGTCACACCAGTTCGATCATTTTCATTTCTCAGCATTTTGCCTGCAACATATGCGCAAACAAGGTGATGAACACACAAAATCACACGAGCAGAAGACAAAAAGTGACTCCAAGAGGAATCATGCAATGTTACAGAGCACCTTGTTGTTCCGGTGATCAACTGTGCTTCATACAAATTTACATAAAAACAACACGAAGCATCGTAACAAGTTGCAGCCCCACAAGGAGAAGACTTGGAACAAAGACACGCATTCGCATGATTGTCATATGCTGAGATAGTTTTTCAGATAAAGGGATGAGAGAAACAGAGCACAGTCACGATGAACATTCCAGTCACATGAACAGGAAACGAACGGAAACGTTATCCCTATCGAAGAATGCATGAAGCAGCTTCATGATGCATCTGAGCGATCAACACATCCCATGGCACAGACGACCTCACTTCACAACATCATGTATTATAAGAAACGATTGTCCATGCATCATCTCGCGAACAGATGCGCATCGCCGTCAATCCTGCATGCACCTCCCTTCGCCGCTCACCATTGCTATGTGACCTTTGGGATCCTGACCCTTCGCTATATTACCCACCCTCGAGCCAAGAGAGCACCCATCTCTCCCGGACAAGTACCCCCATTTTTGTTGGAGTACCCCCCTCATAAACCATTTTTGCGAGGTGTAATTGGGGGTACTTTTCTTATAGTACCCCGTCAAACACACCAGATACCCCATTCTAATCCCACTTGGAGAGTAGCAAGTTCCTTGCTGTATCACCCCTTCATTTCCAGGGAGGACGGGTGATTGAAGTACCCCACCATATAAATTACCCATCAAAAACAGTGAAATATACCCGTGATGAAAGACGATTTGTGAGTGTGTACCCCTACTCACGATCACCACTACCATCTCGAAGTAACTTAGTAAGATAATCATGATAACATATATTGATTGAGCTCAAATAGTTTTTTGTGCTCTTCTTCCGTGAAGACTTCAGGACTTTGTGGGGATGCATGGAAGGGCGAGGGAGGAGGGAGGAGGAGGTGGAAGAAGAGAGGGAGGGAGGACGGCGAGCAAAGGAAAAGAGAGGGGAAGGAGAGCGGAAGGAGAAGAGGTGATCAGTGGAGGGAGAGTCACTCTACTCGACAGACGAGCTCAATGATGGAATCAGATGCCGATCGATGGAAGGGAGAGTTTGAAAGAAGGTTGAAATCAGCTTGTGAGCATGTTTGGATTCGAAGAATTGATTCAATCTCTCGAAATTCTTCCACTGCAGGAAACAAATGAATCGCGGTAATTCGACGATTTTCAGCACCCCCTCATGATATTTTCTACCTCGTCGCCATGAAGGAGGGAGAGGAGGAATAGAAGGATGGGGGGACCCGTCTGAAAGTGCCACAGAACTCGGCAGAGCCCCATGGTCTCAGTGCTAGCTGTGGAGAAGGCGGTAGCAAGGGCAGCTCATGTTATGGTCTTGTTCGTCATGGTCTTGTTCGTCATGCCGCTCAGCCTGGCATCATGCTCAGCTCGGCACCGAAGCATGCCGACGAATGCATGCGGGGACTTGACAGGGACAAGTGCTCTGAGGATCCAACGGGTAGACGGTCAAGAGAGCATGATGGCTGTGAGGAACATTCATAGAGGGGAGATGATCCTCTCGATCCCTTACAGATGTGTCATGTCTGCTGATAACATCCCGCATGAGCACATGGGCTCCATGACAACAAGAGTTGAGGAGTTTGTGCGACGAGAGTTCGAGGTATGAAGGAAGCACCTGCCCCTCAGCAAGAATGTCTGGTGATGGATGAAGCAGGACTGGCCCCGCGGTTTTGCTCTGAATGCGGAGGAACTCGCTCTTCTAACGTAGGAGACGATCAATGGAGAGAGTGGGGTTAAGTTGAATGCAGGTACTTCACGTCGGAGCTTGCTAAGGGGAACAGCTCCTCCTTCTCTTTCTACTTCTCCACCCTCCCGTCGCAAGATCAACTTGACAGCATCATCTACTGGGGGGAAGAGGACGGCGCGGTAGGTGAGTTTCTTCTCAGTTAGGGCGAGTCACCTGTTAGGGCAGATGCTCAGAGCGACGGGCCTGGAGCAGCTGCGTACGGAGGTTGTTGGGAGACTGAGGAGGCTGCTTGACAGTGTGCAAAGATTGATGCCGCAAGCGCTTCCGAGGTAGCCTGGGGCTCCTCCCCTGTTTCCCCATGGGTTCATCCTGAGGATTGCGGCAGGACGGTCAGTCAAGAATTCTTCTTGAGGTGCTGGGCGCTCTTCATATCAAGATTCTTTAATGTTCCGCTGAGCCCGAGCTCTCGCCATCCCCCGCCATACCCGATGACCAGGAGCAGCCTGCTGGGAGGTATTCCTGTTCCTCTTGGAGGGAGGTCCCAGCACTCTTTGCATACGAATACGAGCTTCGACAGCAACCCAGCGCTTGCAAGGTCAGATTGCTTGCTACGTCAGACATCACAGCAACCCGCGGTAGAGAAGACGTGCAGTTGCTGGCCTCATCGCTCCCTCCGCACCAGCAGGCCAATGTTGGTCCCGTACTTGGATAAGGTCAATCACTGCAGGGAAGCCAAGGGGGTTTGGGTGCTGGAGCAGCCAGATGGGGAGGATTTCAGTGTGAGACTGTACGCTGGGAGATCGTTCTTAGCAGGGCAGCAAGTCTGCCATGCGTACACCTGGTCGATGACGGCAGAGGAGTTCCTCTTCCGATACGGTGAGGAATGCGTGCGTGCGTGCGTGTGTGCGTGCGTGCGTTCGTGCCTGCCTGCCTGCTGGTTTTCTTTTGTTACTTTGGCTTCTGACTTCGAGCAGGGATCTTTGACGATCAGTTGTATGCTGCTGGTTGGATAAGCTTTGCCCAAGAGGAGCAGATCTTTGGCCCGGCATTAAAGGAGGTAGGAATGGCGATCGTGCTTATCTGAGGAGGAGGAGGAGGAGGAGGAGGAGGAGGAGGAGGAGAGAGGGAAAAGGATAAGAAGGAAGAGGAAGATCTTACGATGATGCTCTTGATGCTCTTGTTCAGCTACCTTTGCCTTGTTCTCGTCTTTGCCGAGTTAACGTGATTGGTGATGTAGAAGCTTTCGTTGCTTGCTGGAATCACAGGCGCAACAGTCTTTCAAGAGATAGCAAGGGTGAGAGGCTCCAATAGCTGCGCAACTTCATTGTGCCTGATGACCGATGGCAGCAACCCGGCGACTGGCTCGGGCATAAGAATGACCTGGCGCGATCCAGGTAACCAGTTGCCTATCATGGGATCGTCTTCGACATCTTCATTCCTCGCAAGAACAACCTCCTTCACGCTCTGCTGTCTTGACAATCCTTCCATGACTCGACTGAGATCATTCCGTCCATTGACAAATCCTATCGCAGAGTTCTGTGCCGCCTGCGTGCACACGTCGCATCCCTTGATGTCATGGCTGCCAGTTGCCGCAACGGCTCTTCACCATGCTGCATTGCTGCCCTGGACGATGAGCAGCTGGAAGCTCGAGCATGGTTGTCACTTCGGTGAGTCGACGCGGCGGCGAAGCCGCATGAGGTTGCGTTGACAACTGACGGCCCCCTGCTCCAGTGCACTCTGCCTGCAAAACGTCAACATGACAAGAGCGCAACTGGGAGAGCTGTGGAAGGAGAAGAGAGAGCAGCGAGCGGGTGAGGAGGAGAACTTCGTGAGCTCTCAGCCCCTCATCACTCCTGCAGGCCGGCAGTTGACCCGTCTGAGATCGATCGCACTGCTAGGGAAGATGCAGATGAGGAAGCTGCTACAAGTTGCGGCCATGGCGAGGTCGCATGCCATGCGCCTGATTGGACTAGAGATTCCTACGAGCCAGTGATGATCGCTGCGCCAGTCCAGATGGTCCGGCAAAAAGGTAGATGTTGTGAAAGCCTGTTCGCTGTTTATTCTTGTTTACATGAAAATTTTGTCGTCCTGTTACCTTCTCACACCTCAGATATCAACCACCTTCATCAACTTTGTTCGATAGTAGAGAAAGATTACGTCGCGCTGGTCTATTCAAGATTAGATCTCCTCATAACAAGATTTCGAACAGTGTTTCTTTGTTGCACTTTGATAAGAACAAAGTCCCGGAACATCCGCAACGAAGTACCCGCAAAGGGACAAACACATCAGAAACAGGGAGCAATCTCCCGTATCCTTGACAAAAACCAAGATCGAAGGGTAAGCGAACAACAACCGGCTGTGTTAGTTTAGGCCATTTAATGACTTCTCCACGAAGGTTAACTCTTACTACAGTTCAATTACGGGCAGGTATCAGTTAGTTATACAAAAGAAGTCAAGGACTTCTACAGGAACAATCAATCAATCAATCAATCAATCAGGAAGGCTTCGACGATCCTCAGACCAACCTCCTGAACTTTCCGCGCAGGATCATCTCAATTGCATCCTCCACGTTGATCCGTGCAGGCATCGAGGCCTTGCCCTCAATCGGAGGCAGCAGGATGTCGTCGTCCCCGATCATATCCTGCGTCAGCTTTCTCTTCTTTTCCAGAGGGATAGGCAGGGCAATCCTCCTCTGCCTCATTGGAGCCTTGGGAACATTCTTCTCATCGTATGCCTGTACAAGCTTCCTGGGTGATGCAGGAGGCGTACAAGGAGCGTCCTCTACTCCAGGCTGGTGCGAAGTTGTCTCCATGGGAGAGCTCCTCTTCTCGTGGCTCTGCGGGCTCTGGGAAGAGTTTCCCTGAATCACGTTCAAGGGCATGGCTGGGCAGCAAGAGCTTGTTTCAATGCCGATTCTCCGATGGTGGGCACAAAACACGTCCTCTCAAAGAATGAGTTCGCTCTGGCAGGGACTTGGAGGCTCCTCAGCGACGATCTGCGAGCGTGCTGCTGGTGAAAAGGGAAGAGGGAAGGGCTGCTGCTGCTGCTGCTGCTGCTCGTCTTCAAGTCGACCTCCTCACTGCAAGCAGACGGATCCATATCCCCCGTACAACCTACTGGTTAAAGGGAGTTTTCCAGTTTCCGTCAGGGGGTAGCCGTTGACATTCCCCTTGGAGAAATGAAGTTTGGACTCTTGTTTGGTCTACGGAGAAATATATAGCTAAAACTTTTCAATACCAATATTTAGCTTTGGAGATACTACTCTGCCCCATATTAACCACTAACACCCCTTCTTGAAAATTCTCGGAGTCACTGCTATATACTATACATTTGGTCATAGATGACTGTGTAGTGCGATGTCCTAGGAAAAGGTCCCAGGTGTTGCGTAGGTCTACAGCAACCTACCTATGGCATGGTGGGTTATACACGTGTAGATACAAACCAATCGAGCACTGGTAGGGTACTGTTCCAGTCTCAAAGTAGGTGGGGGTACCAGTACTGACAACCACCCCGTGTGTGTGGAAGGACCACCTGACCGGTGGTATCATGAATCCACCGGTCCGGAGGCCTCCGGAACTTGATTACGTCATCCCGAAGGGGTCTGGTGCAAATACTACCGGTCATTTATCAATGGAGAGAGGGGGTACGATGAGTTGCGTACTGGCGGAATAGAGTTTTTCGGACTTGGGTAGTCGGAACCTGAGCACAAGGGGGTGGTAGGTCATGGGAGTGCAGTACATAAAAGGGATGTTTATGAGTGGTGGGGTGGGGTAATGTGCAGGGACTGCCAGGGATGGTTGCAGGGAAATGTAGGGGTGGGGGTGTTGATGGAGGACGTACCTGGGGACAGAAGTCAAGCGACGTAGGTTTGATTGGGAACCTTCGTAGGGTAGGTGGTTCAGTCTGAGGGAGTCAAAAGTAGGGTGGGGTACATATATCACCTGAAGAATGATCGGGAACAGAGGGGTAGTCACTCAAGAAGACATTGATTGACATGGGTAGGTAGGACCTAGGAAGCCTAGAAAGAGGGGTGGGGGTGAGATGAGGCGGGGGCCATGGAGAGGAAATAATTGTTTTTCAATATAAGGTTTTATAAATAAATGGGGGCGAAAGACTACCTCCACCCCCTCGTTCACCTCATTCTACCCACTGGTAGATAGGCGATCCGACCTGGACTGCGCATTGATCGGTCAACGTGACCCCTACAATGACCCACCCTTACCCACAAGGTCGCTATTTTGACTACCAGGTAAATAGTGAACTCCTCTTAGAACCGGTACGAATGACGTAAAAAAGTAGGGTGTAAACCACCCCCACCTTTTCTCGTCCCTGGTTGGGGGATATCCCCACCCCCTCGTTGACCGAGTCAGCTCATGACGGGCCCGGTGCCCCAGAGATACATTTCGATCTCCACAGTCCGATCAGATGACCCCACAGATTCCTGTGAAATCTGCTGAATGAGATGGGGTAGGGTGGTGTAGATGCTTGAGTCGTGTGACGGGCGGAACGCCGAATCGTTGAGATTGCCGCCTATCTCCCGCGATCTCGATCCCTCTGCTTCATTGTTTTCTTGGTACCACTAAATTGACTTACAAGATACAACGTAGTAAGAGTAACGTGACCGTCATGGACCAGCCAAGCAAGTTGGCGTGACTTGAAGGGCCCTGCCGCATGATTGGATGACTCCTACAAACTGTTTACTCAAAGTTAAGTTAAAAATCAGTACGGCGTGGACAATGCCAGGGCAGTTCCGAGACTCGGAGCCTGCCCGGGGCCGACGCGCCGGGCGCCGGCGAGTTCCGGCGGCGGGGCCGGGGGGCTGCGTAGTACGGCCGTCGGACTCGGAGCCTGATCGGACACGGCACGGTCCGCGCCGGGCTCGGACCGTCCGACGGGAGTCAGTCCCGGCCCCGGGCCCCGGGCCGGCCCTCCGAGTGCCGACACTGACGGTGCCACTCACTGGAGTCCGCCGGCGGCGGATCCGATGATCAGCGCGGCTTGCCGTCAAGTTGGCCACTGAGTCCGATCCTGGCACCCGGGGCGCAGCGGGGCGATGATCGGACGGCGTGAGTCCGTCGGTGACTGAGCGGCCGCACGGTGGCAGGGCCCCGGGTCAAGCCTCGGGCCTCGAATCTCCTGATTGTCCTCGTACCGTAGTACCGGCACAGGCTGATCTTTAACTTAACTTCAATTTCAAGTGAATAACCCGGTTGAACTGCCGAGGGGCTGGCCGCAGCCTGGCAACTGACTCCGGGTCCGAGTCGAGTCCGGCGGCGGCGGGGGGCCCGGCCCGCCATAGCCTGCCAGGCTGGTACTACGGTACGGTATGGCCGGGTGTACTGCCAGGCTGGCAGCGGCCCGCTGCGGCACTGCACACACCGTACTGGCACCGTGGCCGCGGCACTGCCGGGGGCCCGGGGGCCCCGGCCCGGCCGGCCGCCCGGCGGCGGCCCGCCGCCGTCCGTCGCGGACTCAGGCGGTGACCGACAGTGAAGGCCGCTGCCCCCGCCGCCTGCGCAGTGCGGCGCCGCGGTACGTCAGGCGGCAGGCTCCCCGGCCGCTCCCCGGCCGCCGGGCTGCCGGCCCCGCGGACGGACCGGCTACGCTACGGTACACGGCTGAACGACGGGCCCACGGACCGGGGCCCGACGGTCGACTGGCACCAGTGACGGGGAAGGATGGCAGTAACGAAGGCAGGAGAGGGGAGGGGAAGGGGAGGGGAAGGGGAGAGAGAAGGGAGGAAGAGGACGAGTTGAGAATCTAACCACGTGTAGGCAAGGAGGAAGGAGGGGGAGGAGGAGGGGAGGAAGAGGAGTGAAGAGTTGACAATATACCATAGGGTTTCGTGGCGATCTTTGGAATAGGATGCTATGGTGACTAGTGCGTTCGGAATGAGCCACAAGTTCTGCCCTGCGCTCCTGCTCCTTGTGCACAGGTAGCTCTTGCAATGTCTGCTGGCTCTGTTTTCTTAGCTCTGTGAAGCCGCTTGCTGCTGGCGTACGACCCGTTCCAGAAGAATGTGAACGCGCCTTTCATCGCAAACTCGACGGACAAGTTTCACCCACTGCAGGTACACGGCCTGCCATTTATTCGCAACATGATCCCGCCATTCTGAATCTCCTGGATACTCCATGTCCTTACCCTTGAGCTCGTCCTCGTCACCAAGCCTCTGCTCCTCCTCCTCGTCGACCTCGTCCTTGTCATTGTCCTCCTCGTTGCCCATTGTTTCCTCCATCACAACTCACTCTTGCTAGTGCCTTGTCTGACGATGCGCATGACAGAGCATGTCGTTCGCACATGTCTTGTTTGACGGGTTTGACCTCAAGTACGCGGACACAGCTGACCTGCGAGGATACATAGGACAGGCACTAGAGCTGGTGACTGCTCTGCAGCTCTGACAACCATCGGCAGGACATCGTTCAACTGGGTCACTACTACGCGAGGACCAAGGTAGGAGCTCCTGCTGCGTCTCCCCATCACTGCTGTGACGCTGTTGCTGGTTTGATTGCAGTTTGGGTGTATCACCAAATGCGACTCCGCGGACTTCAATGGCGTCGACGGCATCTTGGGTGAAGCATTGTCAGATGTTATGTGAAGTTCGATGTGATTTCATGGGGAGATGTTACGTGAAGTTCGATGTGATTTCATGGGGAGATGTTACGTGAAACACGAAGTAATACCATGAAGGATGTTACGTGAAGTTTGACGAAATGTGATGTCAACGATGCCAGGATTGCAAGTGATTTCGTTTTACCAGGTCTTGGTATGCCAGATGCAGCTCTTGCATCGATACCTGAGCCACTGTTCTTTGCAATCACGGACGACACTGTAAGATTACGGGAGACGATATTACATCTTGTGTTGTCCTTGTTGTTTGATGTCCATGTTGTTCATGTTGTTCATACCCTTGCTGATGATATTGGGGCTCTTGTTTTGATCGTGCGCTCCTGTTCTTGCTTGTCAAGATAGCAATCCAGTCAGTTCACATGCTTGCAACCATTCTCAATGTTCTCCTGCTGTGCGTGGAGAGCTGATCTGGTGTTCGAACCAGGGAGACCCTGTCAGCCAGAGGATCTTGAGGGACAGAAAGGTGGAGGAGGGGGCGAGTGAGAGTAGGAGGCTGATGCGATTCAACTCAGTTCACTTTCGTGGTGGACCGAGAGGCTGGGGAGCTGCAGGTGAATCGTTCGTCACGATTATTTGTGTTGGTGGCTGTTGCATGTTGCCGGTGGATGAGGAGAGGGAGAGGGAGAGGGAGAGGGAGAGGGAGAGGGAGAGGAGAGGGGAGAGGGAGAGGGAGAGGGAGAGGGAGAGGGAGAGGGAGGAGGGA